TAATTAATAATTACTAATTTATAATTAAATTTAATTAATTAAAATAAACTAATAACAAAAATAAAAATAAAACATAATAACAAAAAAAATCCCTGGTTCGGCGGGTTCACGGGATTTGGCCGAATGAGCAGGCGGCAAGGGAGAAAGTTAACCTTCACAGCAAGCGAGCTCCTCTCCCTATTTCTGATCAAAATTTGTAGCTTCTGATCCGACCGGAAGAGGAAGTCGCAAAAGGAGCAAAGTCGAACGACGGCAAAGGAGGCGGCGAGCTCCCGTTGTTTAGTCCGATCAAAATGTCGTAGCTTTCGACCAGACTGGAAGGGAAGGTCGTCGAGGGGACGAAGTCGACCAGCTATGGAGGAGGCGCGAAAGGGAGAGAGTTTCCTTCCACAGCAGCGAGCTCCCCTGTTCTTGCTTCCGATTTAAATGCTGTAACTTCCTATCCACAGGAAGGGAAAGTCGTCTGAGGAGCGAAGTCGAACAGCGAAAAGGAGCCAGAGGAGCAACGTGAAGGGGAGAAAGTTAACCTCACGGGTAGCGAGCTTTCCGTCGCTGCTTACGAAATGGCGTAGCTTCTGATCCAGCCAGGAGGGAATGTCGTCAAGGGAGCAGAGACGTCATAACGAGAGAGCCGAAGCCTTCCCTCTCTCGTGTATTTAACGACGCGCGAGTCAAGCGGGATCGTGCGAGCAACGTGGGAGATGCGATGCTAGATCGTGCGAGGTATGGCACCAATAGGGGAAAGTCGTGCGAGGCTCAACAGACAGGTACGCACGATCCTCTTTTTTTATCACAGGTCAACAGTTGCAAAGATGAGGATACTTAGGTGGATGAGTGGCTTTACCTTTAGAGACAGAATGTGAAACGAGCATATACGTGAAAAGGTTAGAGTATCTCTAGTGGAAGATAAGATTAGAGAGAATTGCCTTAGATGGTTTGGTCACATAAAATGCCGATTTTCCAATGACCTAGTTAGGAGAGTAGAAGTATTAGATTTGTCTTATGATAAGAAAGATAGAGGTAGACCTAAAAAGACTTGGTTATAAAATATGTAAATGAGATAGGAGACAATCGAGAAAAATGGTTCATCTAGCCAATCCCACATAGAGGAATAAAAGCTTGATGATGATAATGATGTTGTATCATCACCTTGTATAATTCATTATTTTACGTGAACCTCGATTTGCATACCATTGAACATACACATGCATTTTCAAACTTTCACTCGTGTAGACAACTCATGCAATATGGATGTCCTTTTGATGCATTTATATTTTGGTTTATTCTATTTTGATGTAATTTGAACAATATTAGTTGTGTTTTATGTTTTTTTAAAGCTATCCAATGATGAAGAACATCCAATGATCATGGTAGGATGTGCTTGGGCATGGCAAGGCTTGGGTTTGCTTGCATTTGGGTCCTTTTTGTCCTTTGGGCTGTTTGTTGTATTTCGGTTTGGGCCTTGGCTGTTCTCGGGTTGGGCTTTGGCTGCTTGGTTTTGAGCTAAAAAAGTTGGGTTATACTTGGAGCTAGCTCATTAATTCTTGAGCTGAAGTTTAGCTCATTATTTGGAGGAGTAATTGCACTTCCTATCATATGCAAATTTCAGCTCATAAATTCATAAAGGTATGTGGAGTGGAGCTTGTTTCTTCCCATTCTTGTGTCTCCTTGGTTTCTTCCTTGTGAATTATTGCTGTGGGTTGGTTGTCTTTTCGGTTTTCTCCCTGGTTGCTTTCCCGTGACTCCCTCTGTCCCGTTTCTTGTGTTGGCTCCTCAGGTCCCTCTCTGGCGGTGTTCCTGTGGCTCCCTAGTTGTGTTTCCTGTGGCTTTCCTTCCTATTTTCTGTGCAGATTTTGGGGGCTGTTGTGGTGTCTTTTGGCCCTTCTTCTTCTCCTTACCTGATTGGTTTGGTTGGAGGTTGATGTTGGTTGTTTGGCTCCCCTTTCTAGCTATATATATGAGAGGATTTTGTCATGGAAAGGTTGTTGATGAACTTGAAAGAAGTTGTTAAAAACCTGAGGGTTTCTTTTCTTGGAAAAGCTTGAGAGCTTGTTCCACCCTCTTTCCTCATCTCTATTTTGTCTTGGCTTCTAATCTCTTCTTCTCTACGCAAGTTCCACTCCACCTATATCCTTCTTCAAGAACATTTGAAAGTTGTTTGTTGGCTGATTTTGGGAGACATTTGCTGGAGGAGTTTGTTAGGACGTTGGAACCTTTTGTAGTGATGGACCCTCGGTTTGCAAGCCTAAGCACTATTTTCATATATTTTCCTACTCTTGTTGCATGTGAGGAAATCGCTTGACGGTTGTTCTGAGGATAGCATTTTTATGTTATAATTTTGTTTCGTTTGATTTAACTTTTCATTTATCTGGATGTTTGTTAGGATGTTTGCAAGTTAAAGTAAATCGAGTTTGATTTTTATTTTGTCCTTGTGTTCTCCAACTTTGCTTTTCTTTCTAGTTTGCTTACATCACCTTTCTAGATATTTTTTATGTTTCGAACATAAAGCATTACCCGTTTAGCGAATGGACATCATTCAGGTGACTTCGCTCAACGTCATGCTCGTAGTCAGTCATTTTCGCTCATGTTTACTTGAATCAAACATGAGGATCCTATTAGGATAAATTCGACATTTCAGACTCAATGACATAGTTTATTTCATGATCAGACATCGTGTGGATAATTTTGCATAGTGTCGAGCTTGTCCACCATCGTGCTCCTTGTTACTTGATCTTCTTGCACGCGAGCTATTCCTTCTTGATAAATTCGACGCTCTGAACAAATTGGTGCAACCTATTCCACAAACGGATGACATTTTGAGCGATTCTGACCATGAGTAAGGCATTTCAAGCTTGTCATATGACCTCGTGTTTGTTGATTATATTCCTCGGTGCACTCAATTGACCGTGCAATGCGTATAAAGGTCAATAAAATGCATTCTTCTTCCTCTTTTACTCCAACTTGTGTATGCAAAGTTTTTCTTCATCTTCTTCTTCCGCTCAAAGTTTATGAACCCTTTCTATCACAAATTCGCATATATCAAGTTGGCATCAGAGCATTCTTTGCTCCATTAAATTAGCATCAGAGCATTATCATTAAACATTGCCAACATTAAATGACATTAAAGCATCGGGCATTTATCTTCTACATCTTTTTTTCCTACATCAATTAACATCAAGGCATCGGTCATTTATCTTCTACATCTTTTGGTATCAACGCATCATCATCAACCATCATCTACATGAGGTTCGATAAATTCTTAACAGCTTGCTTTGGATTTTTCAATAACATACCTTCCATTTCTGACCAAGCAAGAGAAAAAACCCTAAAATCAAGTAAAACCACCATCACAATCATGATCTGCCTCCTAGGAGATATCCAAGGATCAGATATCCCATTTAAAATAATATCTCCTCATATCCATAATTTATAATACTTTCACACCAAATTGCGTGACTATATCCATTCCCGTGACTGCCTCCTCTCAACGAAACTAGCATTTCCTTCACTAGGTTCTCTATTTCTTGAATGCTTATTCTCGAGGTTCACCAACCCACATGTCTCATGTCCACCTGTGATAGTACTGATAATTATAATACAAAGGCAAGAAAAACATGGGAAGAATAGAATGAAATGTTTCAGAAATTTCTAGTGTTGTATTAGCATTAATGATTGAAAACTTGATAAGCAGTCTCTGTATTCATGTTATGGAAATTCCAATGTGCCTGCAAGACATAAATGAGTATTTACTTATAATTCAAATTCTAAGTAAGAAATCCAGATTCCGTGATTAAATAAGCAGCTTGACATTCTGCAGCATTATTAGCATTGACTATTTAGAAGAAATCACAAGCAAAGCATTCAAATGATGTAAAAAGAAAAACAACTTACCTGCTATGCTCTGAGCAGAAACAACTCCTAGTTCATTTTTTGCAGTAGAAAGGTAATAAGCCCTTGCATCTCCGAGAGAAAGCTTCATAGATAATTAAGTTATACAATTCCCATTATCCGTTCTAAAGCGTATAAGTCTTTCAAAAACCATAGGTAGCTGATACGTGATAATGTAGTAAGTTAAATACTCATGTACTCGGCCATGCCATATGTGAACATGAGATGCTGTGCAACAACAGAAATGTATACAGAAGGCTACAAAACTTAACAATTTAGGTGAAGGTGTTGAACTTTCAAATGCTTTAAGAATAAAAAATCGAATATGGGGAACCAAATTTAGGATACAACTTCAGCTTTAACAATGTCACCTGGCCGAAAAGACTGGTACATATCAACTTTATCAATTTCAGTTGCCCTGACATCTTGCTGCCTGTGAACATCAGAATACAAAATAGATGCCTCGATGGGGTAAAAAGTTAAACTAGCAGCAAAAGTAAAGCTGGGACTGGGAATGACTACAACATCCTAAAATATAAAAATATGTGTGGACAGTCAAAGATATAACAATATGTGTGATTAGACGAATTCTATTTTCTCTAATACGGCATGATGACAGCGGCACATATTTGATGCATACAAAGGAATGATGTAATAAAATGCTTTGTTCGCCCAAGAAAAAAAGCGCCCGAACCCAGCCTTCTAAAATAGGTTTTCATTCTACAAGATGTAAATTAATTTTTTAATTCATCAGATTTTCCCTGATGTTTAGGTCAGAGTTTATTTAAATCTGAAATCTAAATTTCCTATGAGTGTAAATCGTTATAGTTAATTACTTAATATAGTTCTAAATTTAAGCTTAGTATTCTGATATTTGTTTGAATTAATAAGAGATGTTTGTGAAGGATGAAAATATACCTGATCAAAATCTCATGTTTCCGTCATCTTGGGAATGCCAACGGTCTCAATCTACCAACGTTAACAAACCATAGGTCATAACGTTCAAAGAATCTGATTAACAATCATATTATTTAGATTTTATTTAATTATGACTTTGGTATTTAATTATTTGATGAGCTTTAATAGTATAGGAGCTAGCCTGAATGTAATTTGTGTTGCGGCTTTCATCATTGAAAGCATGAATTTAATTAGGATGGGGACTTACATCCAATGGGAAGGCTGAAAGGTTTAAATTTCATTTCAATGGATTTGATGGCTTTTCTACCAATCTCACTGAATTTGATAGAAGTGGGGCTTTGATAAGAATAAATTACATATTGTTTTATGTGTTTTATTTTCTAAAAAAATGTATTATTTTAATTATTTTTATGCAAGAAAAAATAAAAAATGACAGAAATTCTAAGGAGACAACTACGTCGCGGCGTCCAACTAAACAACGCCGTAGCGCTACCTTTAATGTTAACTAACACATTAGCGTTGTCCCTAACACATCAGCGTTGTATGTCTTGCGAACGAACGTTATTTTAATGATTTTGACTATTGGTCAACTCACTTTTGATAACTTTCACACAACATCGCATCTTTCACTTTAGGGTTTTCATCGTGTGCAGCTAAAGCGAAACACATTTATTGCAAACAATTAACCTTTCAATATATCGTTTCTTTTTTTGCTTTTTTGTCATCATAGCTAGTTGCTAGTATAGATGTTTGGCCCGAAGAATTTATAAAAATGCAATAATTGATATTATAGGAGAGTATGTATCAGAGACTCAACTTAAATATCAAATTTATGGTCGTTTCGGATCGACTATAATAGCTTGCTAAACCAATTGAGTTGTCATATGTCTAATGCTTTGTATTAGTGGACTCGCTGATGATGATTTTTGTTTATAGCATGCAAATTGATTTTAGAGTTCCTTCTGCCTTTGTTTTGTGCTGTGTATTTAGCGAAGGGTTAATTTATGGTTCTACAATCCTATGCTTTATGTGACGGTCTTGGTGAATGAGTCAAATTGAATTTTTTTCATTAACTTTTCAGGCAATGTGAAAACCAACCGCCCTATATTTATTGTTTTGATAAACTTGATATAAAATACATGTTAATGACCTAACCCTTGGGTTTAGGTTAAATAGACGGTAGAGAGCCATTGTTCTTCTATTTCATGTGTTTATGGACTTGTTGATGATGAAATTCCCTCATTCATCTTCGGGCCACGAATAAACTTTAAGATAGCTTCATTAATTAGTTCTTTGTTTTTTGTTTATCAAGCTAGTTGAATAGAAGAGGTTCCTTTAATTTTTTCTTTATGTGTGATAGACTTGTTAAAGGAACCAAAAAATTGACTTTAAGAATAACACCAAATTTAGCTTGATGTCTTCCTTGAGATAATGATCATTCATCTAATGATAATTTTTGCTTTTGGACCAATTGAGAAGATACTTGTACTAATCAAATTCGGTGAGTCGGAACTTTGACAGCTTTTTTCATCAAACTTAGCAAAGCGGGGGGTTAACTTACTGCAACCTTTCTAAATGGCTTGTTGAGTATAGAGGTGGCCTTATTGAGTTCAACCTCTTGTTTGCTTTGCATATTAAAGCTTGCGGCCTTGAAAGTCTTCTTTCTTAACCTTTTAAATCTAATTTGGTGTTAAAGATAGCATGCCTCATAATTTTGAGAATTTCCTCGTTTATGTTTGTTAAAAGATAATTGACATCCCTTTTTGCCTACTTGGTTAAGTTAGGTTTGTTAATAATGATTTTAAAATTTTATTTCAAAATCTCAGCATAAAGCATAATATTAACCTAAATAAATATTTAAGAATATTACCCATCTTGCAAGGGATTTTTAGATATTTATTTTAAAAAAATTGTCTCCTATCTTGTAGAGGATTTTCATACAAACTTTTAGCAAAAATTTGTCTCTTATCTTGTAAAGCATTTCCCTCATTTGTGAGTCCGTATTGAATAGCAATACAAAGTGAAGGTAACTCAACTGCAAGAGGAAATATTATTTCTATTCTAAAAACTAGAGAATATGGGATCGCTTGTGTTGTTTTATTAGTGTGATATGCCTATAAAGTTTATTAGTTTATACTGTCATTCTCTCTTATTTTTTGAGACAATTTTTTTACCCAAGTTCTTATTAAACGCACAGCCAAACTATTGGCTCTTGTATTATATATTCAGTAGTGACAATCTATTTTATATCGCTCGATAAATTGACAGATCTTGGCACTCTTAAAGGCCATGCCATTGTCAAATATGATTCAATAGTGCACCACAAATTGATAGAAAATATGACCTCGAAAGAATTTCATCACATCGTCTACTTTAACTTGTCTCAAATAATTTTTTTCAGCCAATTTTGGGAAATAATCGATGGCAACAAGGATAAATTGATACCCTCATGAAAAAGGTGCATCTATAAGTCAATAAAGTTGATGCCCTAATTTTCAAATGGCCATAATACTGCTATATGAAGTTGTGGGTTACTTGGTCGATGCAAGGTGTCTTAATGAACTTAACATTCGTGAAACTTCTTAGCATAGTTAATATAATCTTGAATCATATTAAGGCAATAGTATCCCATATATTCGCTTTTGATTTTAATTTTTTGGACCAAATTGGTGTGCACCATATAACCTTCATGAATTTCAGATATAAATTTTTCACATTTATCAAGACCTAACATTATAACAATATTTAGTCATAATCTACATTATAAAGTGTCATTTATGAAGGCATGCCATAATACTCTTCAAGATATTTAGGAAGAAATACTTATCCTTAAGTAGTCTACCTTATATAAAGTATATGATGAAAGATTCCCTCAAATCAACCTTATCCGCCACAACTAGACTCTCTTGAGTTTCCTTAGCTTCACTAGCTTGAAGGAAGGCTGGGATTAATACATGTTTATTTTGGACTATTATGATGATTGGATTCCAATGAGGATTTACCATTTTCTTGGGTAACTTAGCTAGCGAGTCGACTTTATCGTTCTCACTATGTGCAACTCTGGTAAAGGTTATATCAGTGACTTGTAGTAGAAGGTTGCAATTATCATGAAAATCTAAAAATTCTAGATATATGGAGATTCTTAACTTATAATTAAACAAATAGCATGTGCATTTGAAGTTAACAAGCTTGAATCATAAGCATGTTTGATTGGTTGTATTGATGATACTTCATCAAAATAGAACTCCCATTATAGAGGAATTTATCTTCACCCACTTCAAACATTTTTTCAACTGATAATCCATCATTAAGCATGGAATCTATAGGTAATGGATGTGAAGCTAAGAAGTCAGTTAGGGCTTGTCCTTTCACAACCTGTCATAGTAGGTTTAGTCATTAAGAATTTAAGAGGGACCACTTTAGCTATTAAAGTTATCTTATAGGACAATGTTTTTCAATTAGTATGTTGCCTCCACCCCTACTAAATGTCAACAAAAAAGTATTTTTCTTTTCCATCTTCATTATTTTGAGCAAACAATGCTCTGACTGATTCCTCAAAAGCCATTGTATATAAAATTAGTGGTTTTCCTGAGATAGGTGCTACAAGGATTGAAGGATGAAATAAACATTATTTTGTACTATCAAAAGCCTCTCGACAAACATTATCCCATATAAAAAGGATATTTTTCTTCATCAACTGGACAAAGGGTTGGCGTATATCTAAAAGATTAGATATGAATATTCTAATATATGCCAACTTTCCTTGAATAGAACTAAGTCCTCTTAAAGTTTTCATTGCGCCATTTCCACAATTGCTTTGATTTTAGCAGGGGAATTTCGATTCACTTATTATATACAATAAATCCCAAAAATTTTCCATTTGAAACACCAAAAGTGCATTTTAGCATATTAATTTTAAGATTAAACTTTTTGGATTCTTTCAAATATAATTATAAAGTCATTTATATGCTAATAATGAGCCCTACATTTACAATCAAATCATCAATATAACACTATTCTTGTTTTTGTATGAGATCATCAAGACACGGGTCATGACCCTCGAGTAAATGGCTCCAACACTTTTCAAGCCGAATGTCATAACTTTGTAGCAGTAGATGTCGATAGCAGTGTGGAATGAGTTATATTTCTCATCTATTGGATCCATCTTAATTTTATAGTAACCTGATGACCCATCCATAAATGAAAACATATCATAATTTGATATATTATTAACCATAAGTTTTGCATTTGGTAGCAGAAAGCTAGCCATTGAGTATGTTTTGTTTAAATATCGATAGTAAATGCAAATATAGATTTATCCATTATTTTTCTTTACACAAATGATGTTAGCAATCCAATCAAAATATTTTTCTTCTCAAATGAACCTGACTCAAAGAGCTTTTTTGATTCAATAATGACTTTTTATTCGAACTCATACATCTCAGTGCTTGTTAAACATGTGGCATCTTAGGATTGATGGAGAGCTTTATGGATTGCTACCTCTGATGATAAACCAAGTACTTCAATATAGTTACATGCACCAATCATTATACTCAAGAAATAGTATTTTTAGCTCTTTTGCCTTTTAATGTGAGAGATTAACACTAAGAAAAGTGGGTTTAAGATCCTCTTCTATGCCCAAATTTATCTCTTTGAGTTCATCAACAGTAGCTTAACTGTCTTCTTTAAATTCTTTTGGAGCTTGTTTTTGGCCAACAATTAGATATTCAAGTTCATTTTTAAACTCGGAGAGACCAATCTCATCACATGAAATATTACAGCAAGTATCATGAAAGGTGCAAAGATCGAACATACTCAACATCTTAGGTGGTAAATCTTTCATATCCAACAGATATCTGGGCATATTCCCTGCTCTGGAGTCTTTTAATATAACAAGTTTGCATGTTCGTTTGCTCAAGAGGAACATTCCTTTCAATAAGTTTTCTTTAAAAGGGCTAAAAGTACTGAGGGATGATTGGTGGTGGTCTCTTCTTCTTCCAAGTCGTCATTTTCCCAATCAAATTTATGAGGAATATAATTTGATATCCCTAGAATAGAATTTCATGGTTATCGTGATCCTTGAAGAAACATAGAAGACTTTTAACCTATCTATATTGGTGGTTAAAGATGAAGTTAATGTTTTGGCATGTGCAACTGGCACCCTCATCATCCTTATAGTATTCGTGGAAATTCGAGAATCAACTACTCTCACCGATGAGATTATGGTTTTCTTTAACTGCTTGGATATAGAGCTGGGCTGAGGATCCCCTTCATTTAGATCCATCATGATGCCATTAAATTGATAGAACAAATAATTCTCCTTCATCATTTTCAGTGTTACTATCAAGGTGAGGTGTTGAATTAGGCTGCTTTAATTTATGACAATACTTACTTCTACCACAATGATCAAAATGATTGGCCATTCAAGGACTTGATAGTCGTAGAAATGTATGGTTCACATACCAATTATACAAAAGCATCACAATAAGCCTTTTCAGAACATTATAATTTAATTTGATGTAATTTTGCATGGTTACTAGTAATTGAAACGAATATTAATCTATAGTTAGGTATTTTGGATAAAATAGCTAAAATATTATCTGCACCACTTTACAAAAAAGGTGAAATCAAAAGGATAAAATAGCTAAAATATTATCTGAACTAAATTTTCATGAAGAAGCAACTTAATAGAAGTAACTTGGCTGAATAGCTTGCTGACTCAAAAGTAAGATGTCCTACCTAATAATGCCGGTAAACTTTTCCTTAACAGCCTTTGATTCAACACACATTATATCAGCTGATGCCATTCTAGCCATTACCCTAGTCACCTGCAAGTAGTAAACAGTTGTGTATTGTACTTGAATTGTAAATAGTTACTATAGTAGCAAACTGATATTTTTTATTTATAATGTTAACATCCAAATTAGCATTTATGGAAAAAAAAAATCTAAGAGTGAGAAAGTAGAGTGAGAAAGTGTGGGATTTCGACGTTCTGTTTTTCAAATTTCCAATTCGCAGTTTTATCGGTCTCTGATGGCGGCGAACGGTTGCTGGCCTCCTTTGGCCGGCGGGCCGTTTGAGGAGCGGCGCTCCTCTGGACGTTCCCTGATTGGTAGTGCTCGTGGTGTTTCATCTTCTCCTCCGGCATTTGGAGATGGCAGGACAAATTTCAACCTTAGTGTTAAGCTAAATGCCAAGATGAACAAGCCCTTAATCATTAATGAGGGTGGTTTGCTTTTGAAGAAAAAAGATACTGAAGTTGCTGGTAAGGGGAAGAGAATTTTGTTTGAAGACAATCTGGAGGCTTTTGGTTTGACTGGAATGGTTCTGTTGCCTAAGGGGGATATGGCGACTTCTCCGTCGTCAAATTCTAAAACTGAAGCAAATAAAGATCTCAATGTAGTGAGAAGGTGTCCTGTAAGTTGTAAGAAGGAAGGTTCTCTACCGAAAGGTGCTAATGGGTCTAGTGAATCTAATGTTAGTGGAATGAACAAGGTTCTAGTCACTGTAGGTATTACACACTGTGATCTGGAGGAGGTTTGGAAATGCATAACTGGCGATCTTGCCAGATGCGATGAAGTTAATGCTGATTTGCCTAATCGCCCTAAATTAGGAAATTAGCAGAATGCTTGGGCAAAAAAAGATAATATCAGAGTTGCTGATTTAGATTTTAGCAACTGTTTATCAGAAGATGGAAAATCAGTTAAGCTTCATGTGCAAAACGTTTTAGAGAATTCTAAGAAGCTTGAAAACTCCTTAGTTATAAAAATATTTGGTGGTGAGGCTCCATTTTCTTCAATAAGCTCTGAATTGAGGAAACAGTGGAGTCAATATGGGAAATTCCATCTCACGGTGCTTGGAATGGGATGGATACTCTGTTCGTTCTATGATCCTGAGCATCTGGAAGTTGTGTTAACTAAATGCCCCTGGTTTGTCAATGGCAACATTGTGGGACTTGATAGATGGACCCAAAGTTTTTCTCCAAACTCGCTCAAAGGACTAACTGCTCCAATTTGGATTAGATTGCCCAACTTACCACTGCATTGTTGGGATGAGATAAACATATGTCGTATAGCTTCCATGGTTGGTAAGCCTTATTTGATCGACGACAACATGTTTCAATGGTCCAGAAGAGAATTTGGGAGGGTGTGTGTCCGAATTGATTTGGATGCAAAACAGCCAACAGATGTATGGGTAAAGGAGATGGAGACAAATTATATCAGAAAATTGAGTACGAAAGGATTCCTAACTTTTGTTTTGAATGCGGAAAGATTGGCCATGTTAAAAAGGATTGTGCCAAAGTAATCATGGAGAACAGGGTGAAGTCTTCAAGGCTTGTAAATACAAATACAAATAATATGGTGGAAACTAATACTGTTGAAGGAAATTAGAATCTGGTTATAGATGGGGAGATTGACAAAAAGGAGTATGGGCCATGGATGTTGGTGAATTATGGGAAGAAGAAGTTCAACAGTAATGTGTACAGATAACCTGTTTCTCGGGTTGAAGGAAGGAGAAACTTTGTACTGGTAAAGAACAGTGATAAAAGAGAGGAAGTCAGCAAGTTAAACAAGCCTATTGAAGCTCAGGAAACTGAGCAGCAACATCTGTCTTGCAATAAAACAGATAACTTGGATGTAGATAGCAATAATGCTTCAGCTGTTCCGGAAATCAGCAAGCCTGTGATACTCAATGATGGAAATTGCTTCAATGCACTCTTAGATCTTGAAGAAGAAGGAGAGATTATTCAATCAAAGATCGACAAAATAGTTGGTGAGGAGGTAAATAAATGTAATGGTACTAATGTAATAGCAATTGCTGCAGGAAATGAAGATATAGATGTTACCAATTAAGTAATCTGTGAATCTGAGAATACTGAAAGTGGAGGGAAGGTTGGTTTTTCTTAATTAACAAAAAAGAAGATATCCAAACAGTTGAGGGAACTGGGGCCAATCAACACTCTTCATCCAGAAGCAGAAGATTGGAGCTTGAAGGGAAAGGTACTTTGGGGAATAATTCCCCTAATCTCAATTAATGTATTCTATAGCATTTTGGAATTGTAGAGGAGCAAGGAAGAAGAGTGCTTCTCTATATCTTAGGGAATTTGTTAAAATTCATGGAGTTTTTTTTGGGTTTCTTAGAAACCAAATTGACTTCTATTGAAAGAAATGAAGTTAATCTTATGATTGGAAACGAATGGGATTTTTTCTATGTTCCTTCATCAGGGCTATCTGGTGGCATTTTGATTTTGTGGAATTCAAATCTTGCGGATTACTCAGTTGTTGATTTTTCTGGTCAAGTGATCATTGGAGATCTAAGAATGTTTAACAAAGGTATGTGGAGGGTTGCCACGGTCTATGGAAGTAAAGAAATGCAAAAGAGAAGGGATCTATGGGATATGCTGGATAAGCATACCACTATAGATGTACCTATGGCAATAGGTGGAGATTTCAACTGTATAATGGCCAAGGAGGATAAAATAGGAGGTAGAAGGTTCTTTTTTTCTCAAGGACCAAAGGAGATGAAAGAATGCTTGCTTAAAAATGATTTACATGAAGTTGGTTCATTGGGCCAAAATTCACATGGTGCAACAATAAATGTGATGGAGCAAGGATACTTGAAAGATTGGATAGGTGCTTCATCAACTCCACTGCAATGAGCTCCACCCATCATTTGGTTGTGAGGCATTTGGCTAGAATAGCCTCGGACCATTGTCCAATCCTTTTGAACATTCTTGATTTTATTCCAATCTCCAAAAAGAACATCAAGTTTGAAGAATGTTGGGCATTTTATCAAGCATCCTTTGCGGTGGTGAGGAAGGAATGGAGCAAACAGTTCAAGGGGATAGTTCTCAAGTTCTCAACAAGAAATTTAAAAGATCTTTGAAGTCTTTGTTCTTTTGGAGCAAGGCTAAGTTAAAGGATCTTAACAAGCTTAAAGAAGATCTTATGAAAGACATCATTGACCTTCAAAATAAAGAATCTTCAAATGGGTCTCTCTCGGAATTTGAATACTGGAGTCTCAAAACAAAGTTAAATGAATTATTTGAAGTGGTTAACTGAAGGCTATGATGCACGGACACGGACATGGCGATACGGACACGACACGACACAGACACGGGACACGATTTTTTTTTGAAAATATAAGACACGGGTACGGCGTGGACACGACAATACATTTATATATATATATATATATATTAATGTAATAAGTGTTGGTGCATCATAGGCTAAAGGAGATGACAATTCAAAATTTTTCCATTCCTATGCTAGTGCTAGAAGAAACTCCAATAAAATTATCAAAGTGAAGAATGAAAATGAGATTTTGGTGGAAGAACAAAATCAGATTTAAGAAGTTTTCTTTCAATTTTTTGAGAGGAAATGGGATACAAAAAAATGCAAACTGGATGGATGGCCGGCTGTAATTAATTGCCTGAACAAATGTGATATGGACATTCTGGAAGAAGAATTTACAATTGAGGAGGTGGAAAGGGTGCTGAAACAAATGGGTGGAAACATATCTCCTGGCAATGATGGAATTTCATACTCATTCATCAAAGCATATTGGGACATCATCAAATCTGATCTTCGAAAGGCATTAAGTCAATTCCTTTGCTATAGGGAGTTGAACAAAGAATGGAAGGAAACATTGATTGTGCTAATACCGAAGGTATCAAATCCTCTTCTCCCTTCTAACTATAGACCAATCAGTCTATGTAATTCTGTGTACAAGGTGGCTGCAAGGGTGATATTGAATAGATTAACTGAGGTTACTCCAAAGCTTATTTCAAAGGAGCAAGCGGCATTCATCAAGGGGAGGTCTTTGTCAGATCATGTGTTGGTGGCGCAGGAAATATTTCACAAACTTAGGTTCTCAAAAGTTGCTAAAGGTCTTGTATCTTTCAAGGTAGACATGGAACAAGCTTATGATTCCATATCTTGATCTTCTCTTAGGAAAGCATTGGAGTATTTTGACTTTCCTCCAAAGATTTCTAAACTTATCATGGAGTGCGTTGGAGATCCAACGTTTTCTTTGATCATCAATGGCAATTGCTCAAATTGGATACAAGCTAAGAGTGGTTTTCGTAAAGGTTGTCCTTTGTCTGCACTCTTTTTTATACTTTGCTCTCAACTCCTTTCTAATGCTTCTGCTCAAAGCTCTTGTGGTATTAAAATTAATTCAGTTGGGCCGAGAATATCCCATTTACTATATGCAGACAATGTGATAATGTTTTCTGAAGCTAATAGGAGGGCTGTTAAGAAAGTTAAGAACATCTTATATGATTTCTGTGAATGGACAGGACAATGAATTAACATGTGCAAATCTGCCATATTGTTTGGTAAACATGTGTGTAGGAAGAAGAAGAAAAGCATCTCACGAATAATGGGTTTCAAAATAGTAAAAGAATTTAATTACCTTGGGATGAAGGTTGCTTTAAGAAGACTTGCATGTGATGATTTCCCATTCATTATAGATAAAGATATGAGGATGCTTAACATATGGGGAAGTAAATTGTTATCACTGGCGAGCAAATTGACTTTGGTAAAATCTGTAATGTTGTCTTTCACTACCTTTCATGCTACACACTCACTTGTCCCAAAACGAATATTGGAAGAATTAGACAAACATTGCAGGAGTTTCATTTGGAACAAGACCTGCGTCAGTTGGTCTGATCTGTGTAAACCATTATGTAGAGGTGGCCGAGGTTTGTATTCAAGTATCTCAAAAACACCTGCTTTAAGAGATAGGTTGGCATGGAGATTAATTCAAGACAAAGACTCACTTTTACATAATGTAATGGAGGCTAAATATGGAGAGAGGCTTGACA